ATCTCCTTTGACCACTTTATTTTTTTATCTTTAAATCACAACGTTATGCAGTCTTCGACATTTTTGCTTGTTGACAATCAACATAACAACCCCTTATTTAATGAAATAAAAAAGTTGTGGATAGCGATTTTGCCTAGTTCTTTAGTAAATAGACCTTTATAATCTATAAAGAAATAATAAAAACTATGTTCATCTGTGGATGTTAAAAGCAAACTCGGTAATATTTGTATACACTGAGAAAGCAATAATTTCTCAGTCAGGAGTTTGAAAATGGGATTTTTCAGATAAGTAATTTCGGAAACAATCACTCATTCCTAAAAATTAATGTCCGCGAAAAATGAGCGATACGATAAAAGATACATATGTATATGAAATACAACTTTATCAATGATCCGAAGGAGATGGACAGAATCAGTTCATAATACAGCCTGACTAGTTCAACACTAGCTGATTTCCTGACAAAACCACTAGGCTTTGAAAATTTATCAACAATGAGAGGATAAATCAGTATTTTGATGAACCATTCTGATAGAACAAAAAAAGATATACAAGAGTTCTGTTATTTACAATAAAATTGATTAAAACAATATAAACTCATTTTTTTTTCATTTTCTTCATTTTAGTACGAACTTATTGGACATACCAATGGCAAATAATACGGATAACAACAAAATGGGTCCAGAGGCCACTGGAGGGTCTGTATCCACCAATAATAAGACAAAAACCATTGCTCGTAAAAACAATATCATAATGGAGGTGACGTGATGATTAACAACAAGCCTGCTGTCTACGGAAGGCTGCGGGATATGGTTTCTGGTTACAGTCAATGTGTCGTCTTCTGTGTCACATAAAAAAGATTGAGAATATGTCTGCATAACTTGAAAGATAAGTTGCAGTTCATACGAATATATTAGGTAACTTGTATAATATGCTAAAAATGTTGGTAGGTTTCAAAATACGAGATTTTCACAGTTTTCTTTGCCATCCACTCTTGAATATTTGAGGTGTATACGAAATTCATTCTTGGTTGAAAAATGATGAAATTCAAGGTGTGATTGCGTTTTTTTGTATTCGATCACTTTCATTGTAAAGTTGAAGAAAACAGTGTTTTGACTACAAGAAAACAATTTCTTTTATTTTTAAGTTTTCAATTTCTGAATCTGTGATAACTTTTATAGGCTAACATATAATAAAATTTAATGAAAGTCATAAATACTCTTTTTTAGAAAACATTGGTTTCATTAAACTGATTGAGTGTGTTTAGTGTTTTGTTCACCTTTTATGATCATAAGTCCTTATTTGGTATTTGACATATATATTGACATGCCGTTTATCATTAGCCGACATAATAGCACTTATGAGGCTGTTGAAGCCACAAGAAATTATAAAATTTTACATTCTCGGGTTAATTTTTTTAATGGGTGAATTTTTTGAACAAATATTACGTTTCTCCATCTTTAACAGTTATCCTTTTGAATTTAGCTAAACTTAATTGATATGCAGTGATTTTTTAAAATTTGAAACAAGCATCTGGAATATTGTGTACAAGTATATTGTTATAAAATAAAAACTCTTGGTAACTACAGGCAAACACACTTGTGAGCATCATCTGCATAGACTGAATAAAAATACATGAACTTGATTGATATTTACATTGTATATCAATTATTGTATGTTTCATTTCTATAAATTTAAAATTTTGGGCAATCAATGTCGAATGTTTTGAAAACAATTGAAATTTGTTTTTACCTATAAAAACAACATTCATACATTACAAGTACTTATATTTATTTGTAAAAGTTACACACCAACTTGCTGTAAAGATGTAACAAATTACAGAGACTTCTCAGTGTCTATAATAGATATTTACGAAGAACTTTACATGTGTTCCAAATTACAATTAAAAACCCTGTTATGTTCTAGTTATAGTATTTCCCTGAACACACATGCAGGTAGACAGTCAAAAAAGGGGGTTAAACAAAATGAGTAGAAGTCTGCATTAGGGATTGTAGAAATTTTGTATAATTCTTTTGACAAAATTAACCTCCAGTAGGTTTGAGAGACTGGCTACATGGCCTTCAAAGTGATAAAATTGGACCATTTTCTTTAAGGTGGCGAAATATGAAATTTTTGTATAGTCCACTTATTAAGGCAGGCTCCTTAATATGTGTTGTTTTTAATTTTTAACCTACATTGAATATGCTTTTGAAATTTTAAAATAGTGTAGAAGTTAATTTCTTAACAAGAACGTGTCACTCATTTTCGATATAGCTTAAAAGGGTATTGGAAAGGAATGAAGTGGTCAAAAAATATTTTCTTCTAGTTGAGATACATCCATGAAATTTTGTATAAATGGTGTGTATACCCTAAAACAATATCTTGAATGCTAGTGACTTTTTTGCCTGTTGAGACCTATCTAAATAGCACATTTGATACTCACTTCTAGGAAGTTGGTTTTCTTGGTATAACCAATACATGTTCTGTCATCTGAAGGAAACTCATGATGTCATCTTGAAGTTAGGTAGCCAGTTTATTGTCTTCAAAAGTCAATCCAAGACATTCAAGGTTTCCAGTAGAAATCTTAAATATCTTTTTGAATACATGATGTTTATTCAAAGAGAATTATTATAATGATTGAGGGCATCATTACTTTTTGCAAATGAATATGATACTGTACTAAGTGGCTCATACACGTAATATTGAAAAGTGTAGTTTATTTATGACAACACTACATATATAATGCTCTGAACTTCACTGATACAATTATGTACAACATTTAGAAACTTTTGGATTCCACTGAAAATACTGTATTTGATAAACAAATGAAAAATAATTCTATATTCGAAATAATTATCAAAATATTAAATGGTCTTTCATATGGCACATCCAGAATGGAAAAGGCACAACTCAAAAAGTGATGTTTTTAGGAAATCCCATTTAAAGTATAAAACCGTTCCCATGAATCGTACGATACTACTAACTCAAAAATGGCCTTTTTGTGAGTTGAGCAATTTCCTTAAAGGTGTGCACTATGTATTCGAAGACATTTAGTGAAACAAAAATTGAAATGAGAAACTGCTGACTATTCAAAACAGATATTAACTTCTTCATTTTGAGTAATATATAATGTTATTTGATAATTTTCATCTCAGGTGTAGGTCAGGTATATGAAAATTGTATTAAGTTTTCATGTGATGTAAAAATAGTAGCACTTGAAGTTTGATGATGATTTCATCTTTTGTACATTTGTAAAATATTTTTTGTGTACATATGAAATCTGTATATTAGGTTTTGTAATTCAATTTGAAAACAATAATTTTAGATCAGGCTTAAACTAGTTCAAGGAAGGCAGAGAAAACTGGCAAGAAATCATGTTGTTCCTTTTCTGATATTGATGTGTTCATACAAGTGATTATTATTTGCAAAATTACTCATCCGTGGCTTATTTCTCTTCAGTGTCACATTGCCCAATTAATTTCAAGATTTAAAAAAGAAAATTTTAATAAATAAAAACTGCAGAAATTCTATTAAGCTAAGAGTTCTTAATAATTTATTTTGATTTTGTAGTTATTTGTAATTGTAATTAAAAATAGTTATACACATACCAGGCTGTTGATATATTATTAGTAACTTATTATTTTTTTTGTAAATGAAAATTTGTTGAATGTACTTATCATATTAGACCGTTTTTGTATTTTTAACGATAATTATATCTATTTTTTGTTATTTCTGTAATTTCTGTTTTTTGACAATTATTTTGGTGTTGTTTTCACATTGGTTCATTCAGTTGATAGTATGTACTGTGGATTTTATGAATCATAAAAATAGTTATAGAATGAAATAATTACTCCAAGGTTGGCGGCGAAAGAATGTAAAATGAAATTTTTCAACAAATATGTTAACAATCATTAATATAAACATACTTAGTAATTGAGTTGACCATAACCATGACATTTGCGAAGAGTTAATCTTTTTTTTAAATTTTTGTAGCTTGAATACTAAGAGAGTTTCTGAAGATGGTATATTACTCTTGAGAATAAAAAAAAAACAAATTTAACAAACTCTTGCAGCCTGTGTATTTCAACAGTTGCCATGAAAAAAAATGGCCTAACATGTACCACTATTGAATTCAAAACTTTGCCTTATCAAAAGGTTGAAGCTCCAGTCATGATATTACAATTTTTTTTAACACTTTGAAACTGTGTATTTACCCAAAATACATTCATTATTACCTTTGTACCTTTCTCATTTCAGTAAGCCAGTGCTTCTTGGTTTTTGTTGAGAAAGAATTTTTGATATGTCGCCGATATTTTCCCAAAGGAAAAATTACTTTTGGAGAGTTGAAGATTGAAAAGTTGTAATTTTTTGCCGTGAGTGTGTTTTTTTACTTGTTGATTCCCTCGCCTTGAAACTCTCCATTCACATGGATCATAAGAGCAAGGAGATGTAAGCTAGGCAGTAAATAACATTCACTTTTGAACTGTCAATTTGCAATTAACCATTTTTTTTATTGGCCAGTAAAAATTGGCTGATGGCACCTGACCTACTCATTGAACAGTCTATAGATGGTTCTTCCATGCTGTTTGGTGCTGTGTTTCTGGACGTATGTAAAGCCATTGAAAGACGCAAGCAAAATAACGCTAATGACAGCTTCACTGTAGTCTGTAGTACGACAAACAAACATCTGTTGTAAGACATCTTCAAAACCAGTAAAAGGTAAAACTGGAACACCTATTCTCGACGCGTGTTTCACTAACAGAGTTGGCTTCTTAAGGAGATGGAAAGTATTGCATTTCTGTTGATTGGGAAAAGTGTTAGTTTTGGATTTGAAACCAGTAGTTGAAACACCATCTCTGAAAACCAAAATTTGGCAACTTAGGGTTTACAAAACCTGAAAAAGGCGGCATCACTGCAGATGTGTAAATATAAAGTTTGCAGATACAGATAAATATAAAATTCTTCAAAACTCAATCTCCTGGTGCTGTTGACTGTGATTTACTGATAGTATGTGCTGTGATGACAATTAGATCACTTCGTCCGTAGTGTCATTGCCGTTGATAATACAAAGGAACAAATTTCAATTGTTTTTTTGTTGCATGCCAATTTCATGATTGTTATTTACCAATTCGAGGTGGCCGATTTCAAATCTACACTTTTTTTTCCTACAGCTATAATTTTTGAGGTACAGCTATTGACCATTTTTATGTACTAGTTAAACTTAACTTTCATATAACCGAGTGATTCTTTTAAAAATTTATTTTTTGTTACAATGTTGTTACACCCTTGACAAGTACTGGTGATATGTAAAACATGCGTGGGGTCTTGAGATTATGGGCGAATAAGAAAATACCCCATTTCAAGCATCAAACACCAATGACCTGGCTAGATACCTTCCTTAAACCATAACGATTGTTATTTTGCGTGGTTGATATAAACAAGATTAACAAAAGAAACTGGTCCAAATGGTTACACCCTAACGTGGTATCTATCTCGACCAATCCTGTACTCTGGTGATGTACCAGTGCCACAAGTGTCTTCATCTACACAAAATGATCACGACTTAGATGGAAAAAAAAACTCTTCTTCAACTGATAAAAGTGGAACAACTGATTTTGATCCCCATATTTCTCCTTGGCCCTTTAACTAGGAAGATTGCAACGCATTGGTCAGGGGCCTCGGCCTTTCTAAACTGGCATTTGAGATTGTAGCTTCTCAATTAAAGCAAAAAAACTCATTCAACTTAAGAAATAATAACTTGTACTATCGGCACAAAGAGAGGAATTTACTTAAATTTCTTTCTGAAGATTATGACGTTGTTTTTTTATTCAGATATTCCGGTTTTATTAAAAGCAATGGGAACGGCCAAGATCAGTCAATGAGCTCTACTTTAAGCACGATCGTACATACATAGTAGAGATTAATGAATATATATTTGTAGATCAAAGTATTAGGGCCAACAGTAGGTAATAACATTTTTATATTAATGTTAAAACTGGATCTCTGGTGTATAATAAATTCAAAAACAAGCACGTCGTGAAGACTATTGTTTTTCTGGTGATTGGAAAAAATGCTTTGCTTTTGGACATACCTATATGTGAGGGATAATTTATATTTTCATTCCAGTTTACTAGGCAGTAAAAAATAAATGTTACTCGTTAGATTTTCTATGTTGTGGTTGTCTTAACACTTTTGATGATTAGCATTGAGAAATCTGTACCTATTTGAAACTGATTGGCGGAAGCTTAACTAATGGTTTATGTGAAGGAATTCGTTTTGCCCATAGTGAATCTGTTGATCATGAACTGTGTTGATCTAATGGTATTGAACAGGTTAATCACACAGTTTTTAGTTTCAGAATCATAAATTTTATACTATTCAAGAATCTCTTTGAATTAGGTATGTTTTTGAGATTATTTGACAATTTATGAGCTTTATCACCAGTGTTATTACAAAGTGAGTTATAGACATTAAAAAAAATGTTCAAAAGTAATTATGCAGTCTTCGACATTTTTACTTGTTGATAATCAACAAATCAATATAACAACCCCTTATTTAATGAAATAAAAAAAGTTGTGGATAGTGATTTTGCCTAGTTCTTTAGTAAATAGACCTTTATGCATTTCAAACGTTAACCGAAACCGAATTTTGGCAACTGTCTCAGTTTCGGCCGAAACCGAAACTTCCTTACAAGGTTTATGTTTTGAGGGAAAAATAAAGAAAACTTCATTAAAATCAGTCAGACTTTATTTTTTTATCTTTAAATCACAACGTTATGCAGTCTTCGACATTTTTGCTTGTTGATAATCAACATAACAACCCCTTATTTAACGAAATAAAAAAGTGGATAGCGATTTTGCCTAGTTCTTTAGTAAATAGACTTTTATGCCTTTCTTTCTTTTTTATGCCTATTAAGAGATAATTTATAGACAGCTTCAGAAGATGGGATAGTCTTTATATACAGGTTGAAGTTTTTAATATTGATATTTTATATTTCAACCTCTATGTTATGGCCAAGGAGTACTAATTATTCATCATGAAAATCATTTATTTGTTATCAAACAAATCAAAAGATCCTAGATATAAACAAAAATTCTATAAGTTTTATATATCTGAAGTATTGACACAGTAGTCATATTTAACAATGAAACACATTTCTCATATTACTATCTGCAGAACTCAAATTACTATATGAATTTTGTGGGTTTCAAATCTATTTTTTTCCTGTATTACACTGATAGTAAATACACAGTACAATTGTAAATTTTTTTTGAATGAACCAGTGAGGATATTTAACGCTAATACTGGCAAGTAATGGTATTAACTACACCTTTCCCGCAACTTGATGGTGAAAGATTTAGGTTTATGTGAGGCAGGGTAATGGATACAGATCATTGACAAGTAGCAACGCTTTTGATTAATTTTCGATGGTTTGCAAACTGGACAGATGCATTCTCAACTAATTTTCTCCATTATTTGTTGCAATGATTGATTACCATTACTTTTACTTTTACTATTTTGAAAATGAATCTATAAAAAAGAATGCAAAGAGGTTGAGGTTTTTCTATAAATTCTTGATTGAAGTATTCAATTATAAACCAAAAATTCTAAAAATGTAACTTAGCATACTATGAATGGATATGATAACCATATCCCAGTGCAAGAAAATCGCATTCACTAAGTAAGTAAGTATACAATATTCCATTCAAATTAAGGGTCAAGAAATTTTGATATGTGAAAAAAATGCTTTTACTGTTTCAGGAAACACAGCAATATCTGCATTGCTAAACAAGAAGATTAATAGCATGCACAGTTTCTTTCAATTGGGAAATGCTACATTATTGAACCATCGCGGAAGTCAGTTTTTTTGAAACTTTGAGTAAATTCATCTGTATAGGATAGAGATTTTTGAAAAGTGTTGCTCCTTTTTAAGTGCCAGATTTTTTCAAAACTGATCCGCACTTTGATTTCAATGTTGTGTGTATTATTGGTAAACTTTTTTAAACAGTCTGGGCGCTCCACTAGTCATAATTCACAAATGTATTCAGTGTACATTTCTTTTTTTATTTTCTTAAATAAAGCCTTTATCAGACTTTAATTGAAATTGTAAATAAATGATTCCTTGTTTGTATATACATATAAATATATTGAAAAACAGTATTTTTTGTACAAACTATTTGCATTCTGTTTTAGGTTGTAGGTGTTCAGTTTTGGTAAAGGCGTTATTTTAAACTCATACTAACTAGAATCAATGGTGCAAAAAGTAGGAAGTAAGTAAAATTTTTGGGGCGCTTTGAAGAAAATGAAACTTCAAATTGAATGTTTATTTCCCGTGTATTTATAAAACTTCATATAGCTTTCAATAATTCTTCTAAATACGTCCTTGTAACATTCCTCGATTTCTGTGTATGTCATAAATAAAGAATCTTGAATCGACAGTTTAAACAGCAAAAAAATGTGATCATGTAGCTTATAATAAAATTTATTATTGTATTTCAAACTGGAAAGTTGAACTGTGGATTCATTTTGAAACCTCGTTAATGTTGTAAGTTACAAATACTAATCTTGATATGCCAATAATATAATTAATGCCTCTATGAGAAATAATCTGTTCATCATTAACGAGGAAAGCATATATATACATACATACAGGGTGATACTTTTTTCCAAAAACTATATTTTAAAAAAGGAGTACTTCTTTTAATTTCAAAATTGTGTAAATTTGTATATGCGTGAAGAAAAAGCTGAAGTACTAAAAAAACTATCATCAAAATATTGCCATCTTGAATTTCGGACTAACTAGTTTATAATTGAAAAGGGAATATTTTATTAATTTATAATTTTTTCGTATGTCACCCTGTACCAATAAAACACCTTAACTGTTAATCACTTCAACATTATTACTTACAGAAAACTCCTTACAATAAAATTTTCAGCTAAAGTGTTGCAAATTATATTGTTTTTTACGTACTTGCTGTTCCTAATAAGATAAAATTGTCATAGGAGTAACTAACTTGGGTATAATTTTTACTTCTATCAACTAAAAAATAGTAAAGGGAACGTGAAGATGATTGAAAATTTAGAATACAGTACAGAAATGGTAAACTCAGCTTTACCGCATGAACATCAATGTACTTTTCAAAAAAAAATGTTGGTTTATCTATAGCTTGTCATATTTATTCTTTGAAAGACATTTTTTTGTGGAGGACTCAATATTTCTTACTGGTTTTTGGGCATATAACCTCTCACAATCTGAAAAATAAGCAAAGCTATATCAATAGAAAATCTGCTGGGGTATAATTGAGGGCAAACTGTAAAGTTTACCCAAAAAGTTACTGTGTAACATTAACCACTGAAAAGTCCAATTAGTCAGTAACATGTCATATTCATAAATTTTGCATACAAATTGAAAAATCAATTGAAAAAAAAATCTTGGGAAAGGTTTTGGCTTTCTACCTCTCCATCTTTAATCTGGGAATCTTCCAAACAAAGGAAGGAAGCAATTAATAAGATGTGTAGGTCATGCAAACAACTACTTTCATTTTCAACATTGAATTACACGAAAAAAAATAAGTTCGAAACAAATATTTTTATATGAACACTGAATTATACAAAAAATACTTTTCACTATTCAGTTTGTATTTCAAACATCCGTTATGGAATTGAATCAGATATCAAAACCATTGAAAGCGCATGATAACGAATATCAAGAAGAGAGAATTGCCGGAATTGAAACTATTATAGCATATGATCAATCTACATCAAAACGTCCTTTGGAGATTAACTTTACTTGGCAAATTATTTTCAAGAAAGACGGTGGTAGAAAGACGATGAATTGATATTAGAAAACACCCTGTAATACATTAATTTTGACAAATATCGGTCAACAACTCTGATATAATTGAAATTTCCTTTGATGTTGAAAATACCAAGGCAAATTTGAAGAAAGAAGAGGAGTGCTGTTTATTTTTAGCTTTTTTACGAAATTGTATTGATGTATTATTCAATTTTTTCTGATATATATAAAAGTGGAATAGAAGGTGTAAATATTGAATTTTTCTTAGAGAAAGTATATTGATGTTGAAGAAACTTATCAGAAGGAACTAGAAGTTTTTTCATATTTGTTTGGGGGGTGGTTTCGCATTAACTCTTCTGTTTGTTCAATACACTTGATGAAAATATTTTCAATTTTATCTTTTCTCAAAAATGCATAGTTTTGCTTTGGAGATAAAATGTCTATGAGGACCAGCTGCGCCAGATATTGCTTTGCCCTTTCCCAAATTATCAGTATGAATAATGTCTTACACTTTGTGCATTTAGAAACTTGCGTTTCTAACAACTTAGCCATGCCACACAGCCCCCTAAGGCTTGAGGAATGATTCTCTACAGCCCCCTACGACTTTGAAGAATGTCTTACACAGCTCAAAAAAAAGTCTCCATCAGCTTTTCAGCCTATGGGGCAGTCTTGGCTTCCTTCGGTGAACCTACGCCACTTTTTCTCCAGTGGTTTCATTTTTTCTTCACTTTTGTTATGTAATATTGGATCCACGATCTAAGTCCGTCCCATGTGTGCGCTTTTGGTCTGCAGTGAGCAAACATGCTGAAAGTTTTTTCATATGTTCTATTTTTAATCATTTACAATTTCCTTATCATAATTTTCCAAGCAATTGGATAGATTGTAAAAACAATTTTCAAAAATCTCTCCAAGAAATTAATATGTGACATACACCTCTAATTTATTATGAATTATAAATAAACGAATAAAACATTTCAGATGCATTGCCCTATACAGTGGAATATTTGCCTCCAGATTGGTAGTTTAATGAAAGATAAAATTGAAAATCTTGTTTGTGATGTCCCTAGGTGTGATATGCATTGTAACGTTTTGTTAAAAAAAGATTTGTGTGGAATTAATTAGTTTTTTAAACTTTGTGTTTGGCATCTAAAAGTAATTTTGTCAAGTATTTATTATTATATTTGTCATTGTTGAAATTAGGATATTTTGCTCGTTTTTCAATTTATGGAAGTGGAATTATACCCTTTTGAAACCATCAAATTTTTCATTTGTTTCGACCGTTTGGCTTCACTCACTCTAGATAATTAAGCTTGTTGTTTTGATTGAAGGGTTACGGACTGTTGATTAGAATACTGGTATTTATTTTCTATACCGATTACTATATTACGGGTCTATGATGAACGTTCTGGGTTTTTAAATTAGAACATCTAAATGTGAATATTTGTAAATATGTGATTAGTTTTGTGTAAGTAAATTAAAATGAAATAAAATCTGATAAGGTTTAACCGAATTTTGTTGAAGCTCACTTACCTACCCCCTTTTACTTGGAATTTCAGCTAGATGACATAATGGGAAGATATCAATAGGAATAATGAGGTATTCGAGTGTTATAATAGTAGTAATTGAAAAAATTGTGTTGAATAATAACACAACACAACAAAGTTTTTGTTTCGGGGCTGAAATTAGATGATTTTAATGTATTTCCACGTGTTAAAACCGAAAGTGACCATAAAAATTATATATTAGCTCTTGTTTTCAAGATATAGTATCATTATATTATATATATGTATATTGAGTTTTCAACAAATGAAATATTTCATCACCAACAGTTGGTACACATGTTTGTTTACATAACACCCCTCTCATCAGCTGTTCTNATATATTTATCTGTCTATAATCTGTCATTTATATTTATAAAGATATACTGTTACAGTTTCTCTCATTTCTAGACAGACTATAGCATATATTTTTATTTCACGATAAAACTATTCAAATGACGAGTATGTCAGAAATAAAAAATTTCAATGATGTTTAATTGAATTCGCCCAAGTCGAACGTTAATGAAGGTAAAAAATTGTAAAGAATATGATTTTGAAATTTTTAACATTTATTTATTTGTAACTATTAGTTCATATGAGTTGGTAACAGTGAAAAACTAAACTGATGACAATGATTGAGGTAAAAATAAATACGTACTATGAAAACGAAATCATTTTAACTAAAATAGATATAAATCTGGTTTTCATCACCTTACTGGATTAGAAGACAACTTATTATACAAATTATAGGACTCAATTTTATTCAAGTAGTTCGTGCCGGCATTGTCCACCCTGTCGTCTGCCCATCCATACCCAGAATGGCCTATGTGGTATTCACCTTCTTTATTCTGATGTATATGGAAATGTACATCTTGGGGGGATTTCGATTCATGCTTGTGAGATAATGCTGCAGATACTTTAGCAACAGCTCCACTAGCGTTTATTAGAAGTAATAATCCGAGCATTCCCAGAGACTTCAGGGAAAATATGGTGAGGAACGTCAGAAGTGTCATTATAACTCCCATCATGAAAATTGCTATAGGTAATATGCTCCGTATTTTTTTTGCTATCCCGAAACATCTTCCTGTAACACAAAAATATTATTTTGACTTTATGATGATACATTTTACTAGTTGAAGATGAAGTATTTCACTGAAAATTTGTTTAATTAAAGGAGATGAGAATCGAGACCTGAAATTTATATAATAGACAAACCCTAAATAAAAGATAACCCTAAAATAGGATTATCTTTAATGAGAATAAAATCCAGAAAAATTCGTATGAGATACATAGACCACTTTTGTCTCTCTTCTTGAGAAAACACTCCTGAATTTTCTGTTACAATAGACAATCGGGAATTTTCAGAAACATAACAAATGAGTAAAGACTGATGAGCAGCACTATGATCTAGTGATAGTAGTGATAATGGAACTTTCATGCTGCGATCGCAAAAAAAAGAAGCGATTTATTTCCAACAGTTGCAGGAAATGCTATTATTACAGAGTATATATGAAATAAGTATTAAAAATAATGGAATATAGAAATGTATAAAAGTAAATGCTATAACAAAGTAGGTATATATAAAATATTCGTATACGTAGAATTTCAAAAGAGGAATGAAAAATTGAGTATATAACACAAAAAGTTACAAATCATGCAATGTAGCAGTACTGACACATATGCTATTTATAGTATTATCAAAAGTGATTGTAGATACATGATACCAAGGCGTTCAGAGAGTTGAAATGAATATCGCAATGTTCACAGATTTTATTGAAGCTACTGCACATACAACTCAATGGTGATCGTAGCATAACAATTGTGCGTGATCATTCGCAAAAGAATTTCAGATTGCGTCGACCTTCACTTCTTGGTACCAAGAAGTTGATCCCGGGTAAAAGAACCGTACTGTCAATATTGTTGTTTAGTAATTTATGCAGGAATTTTATACCAAGAATAACTCTCCTATTTTCCAAAGATGTCATATAAAATCGTGTCAACAAAATGTTATGATCGATTCCTCTCGTGGGGTGTATTGTCCATCAACTTTTAGGCATAAGTATCTTGGAACTTTCTTTGCACGCTCTCAATTGATGTTTTTTGGTAGTCGTAAACTGGATTCCATAACACAGAGCCATACTCTAACTTATATCTGGCATACGCAAAAGATGCCAATACTACTCTGTTGAAAAATACGGTGAATTTTCATTTATTTTAATAAATATTTATTCATCAAGTTCTATGTTGTCCACTTGAAAGTAGTGCCCCTCACATATAATACACTTGGGCCAGTGTTTTTTCCAATTCTCGAAGCAGTTCTGATATACACTTTTTGGTATGTCCTTGAGCTCAGCGATTGGAAGTTATTCTATCATTCATGGATGCATATATTCCTTTTTCAATGAAACGACCTTCTAACGGCAAACCTTGGTTCAACAAAAATTGCGCTCCAAAAATCTTGCTTACCGGCAGTGACGCAAAAATCCCAGTGCCGAAAACCGAACTAGGTTTGTTAATGCTCGCAACAGCTGCAAAATCCTTCTGGTCGGTAGCTAAAGTTGATAATCAGAATTTTACAAAACCCACAATTCTACCAGTAATAAAAGCGGATGGTTCAATTGCAACAACAGCCATCAGTCCAAAGGGTAAGGGAGCCAGGCTCCAACCTGTCCGAAATCAAGATGGCTATCGGCAACAACATCCATAGAAAAAACAAACCTACTAGCTGAACAATTTGCGTCTCACTCCACAGTCGATTTTGTGGGGAAGGCACCACCCACTATTCCCACAATGCCATAAATTATTTTTTGGCAGCGTTTAGTCCGGCGAATAAGTTAAAAAATAAGAGATCTGCGGGCTTTGATGCCATACCATCATTTTTATTAAAAAATGTTGTCTCTTTTATAATATCTCCTTTGACCTATCTCGTCAACCTCTCATTTTCAAATGGTAATTTTCCAGATTACCTAAAGACTGGCAGGGTCGTTCCGATTGTGAAAAAAGGGGATCCGCAACTGGTTAGTAATTATCGTCCCATAACCATTCCCTCCATATTTTCTAAAATATTTGAATACGCCTTTTTAGAGAGGCTGAATTATCACTTGAAGCTAAATCACTCAATAATCGATAATCAGCATGGATTTCAAGAAAACAAATCTACAGGCAGTGCTGTCCACTCCTTTTATGAAAATCTTACTAACTTGGTCGATGCAGGATGTTGGGATATTCTATGATCTAAGCAGGGCTTTCGACTGCGTCAACAATACCACCCTAATAATTAAATCAATTAAAATTGGTGTTGAAGGATTTGCTCTAGAATGGATAAAATCTTATCTGCACGCACGTCGCCAGTACGTTAGTCTCTCAGGAGTAACTGAGAAAACGGTGACCACTTGTAATTCGGATTATCTTGACATCAGTGTAGGTGTTCCTCAGGGGTCAGTAATGGGACCAATATTGTTCCTAATATATGTAAATGATATCGTTAAAGTGAACCCATCCATACATCTCACATTGTATGCGGACGATACGTCCATACTTATTTCCAAACAATCTAATTATTCTCTAGAAAAAAGATGTAATGAAGTTCTTTCTAATCTCTATGACTGGTTCTGTATGAATTCATTGCATCTAAATGCAGAAAAAACTTAGTCAATACATTTTCACAATGAAAGACAAAAACAAGTGCCTACCATTCAGGTAATTGTTAATAATAAAGTTTTGGAAAATGTATCGTTTGTAAAGTTTTTGGGCCTTTACATTGATGAGTGTCTTGACTGGAGGAGACACTGTGAATCAGTAATTTCTAAACTTAACTCTGTAAGCTATCTATTCAGAAACATGAGATCAGTTTTAACGGAGAAACTTCTGATAACGTTATATTATGCACAGGTCGAATCCCGACTAAGATACGGAATATGTTTTTGGGGGTCATCGACTTGTTTTAATGATGTGATCATATCGCAGAAAAAATTGATTCGTTGTATCGCTGGTGTCTATGGTACATCTAGTTGTAGAATTTTTTTTAAAACCTATCAAATCTTAACCTTGCCGTGTTTGTACATATTTGAAGTGTGTGTTTTTGGATTTTGTGATTTAAACTTTTTTAAAGCCAATAAACAAATTCACAATGTTAATACAAGACAGCGGAATGATTTACATGTGCCATTTTCAAGAACCAATCTGTTATATAGATCACCCACTGTAACTGGACAAAGGTTGTACAATAAACTTCCCCCCGAAATTAAATCATGTATAACACTGAAAGCATTCAAACAATGTCTTAGGAAGTACCTGTTGAATGGTGGATTTTATTCCTTGGAAGAGTTTTAGTCATAGTCTTAACTATAGGCCAGTCGCTTTGCTATCAGTTATATCAAAAATCATGGAGAAAGTCGTAAACCACCATATTCTCAAATAATTGGAAGGCTTCAACATCTTGAGCGATCATCAATATGGCTTTCGGAAACAAAGATCAACAGGCGATCTTCTATCGTATGTCACCCATATTTGGAATAACGCAATCGAGAAACATGGAGAATCAAGAGATGTTGCGCTTGATATTTCTAAGGCCTTTAACCGTGTGTGGCATGGGTGTTTGCTGGCCAAACTTCGATGCTATGGCTTGTCGGATCCAGCATTCTGAAAGAACGTTCCCTGCAAGTGGCGGACGATGAGTATCTCTCGAATACTTTCACCATCAACGCTGGTGTTCCCCAGGGATCCATATTGTCTCCAACCCTCTTTTTATTATATATCAACGACTTATTGGAAAAAAACAAGAATCCAATATATTGCTTTGCTGACGACAGCACACTTGTCTCGTCACTTCATTTGGATTCCAGGACATCGGCTACGGAAGCACATTTTCTTCGGCAGCAGGAGGTTGCATATCTTAATGAGGATCTAGAAGTTATATCGAATTGGGGTGAAAGTAACCAAGTTCAATTCAATGCCACAAACAACAAGGCATCGGTTTTCTCCAAGAAGATGAATGTCTCCAAACCGGATATAATAATGTCAGGTCAGACAATTCCGCTTTCTGCTTCGATACGTTTGTTGGGGGTTGAAATGGACACCGATATAGCTTTGTTACGTCAGAAACGCAAAGTACGGAAATCGCATTTAGAAAATGCCAAAATTAGGTATTTTTCAGGTGCTATTTAAGTACCGAAGTCAAAAATTAGGTGCTCTGTAACTTACACCGCAACTCAATTCTAAAAGTTGCGTTGCTAGCAGTGTGTGATGCTAGCAACGCAATGAAAATAATAATAATAAAATAATGAATGTTAAGGGAACATTATTAGGTGCTAATTAAGTGCTAAACGGTGAGGATCGTAACATTTTCTAATTAATAAACAAAAGCTTCCAATTTCGCTAAACAACAGATCTAAGAATCAGGTCTCTCGAAAACGAGGACGAATGCTCTATCAGGTATAAACTAAGCGTGGTAATAAAGTGCTAATGAGGTTCTTGCAAGAAATTAAGATGAAAACGACCGCGAATAAGTGAAAAAAAATTCGAGATACATGAAATGAGAAAAATAAAATAACAATATGCAATAAAGTCTTGAGATACTCGTAAAATAATACATAGACAATCAAAATAAAGTGCTAATTAAGTGCTCACTAGATAAATAATAGTAAACCTAGATTCCATAATGCCTATGGGGCATTTCTTGCAGTACGTTCCTCGATAAGTAAAGGTATGAGAATAAAGTGCTACTTAGGTGCTCATTAGATATTTATAGTAAATCTAGATTCCATAATTCATATGGGGCTTATGGACCCGATAAACACCATGGACCCGATAACCACCATTAAAAAAAATGTTTAATATGTTTTTCCGTTAACCAGCTATCGCACCCCTACGAACGATAACTCTCAGAAATTTTATGTGAGCTAAGAACTAACGAGGTCTTACCTTTTAACTTGTGATTCCTAACACGGGTTGGATGTGTGAGTCGATAGTTCAAGCCCCAGGCTGAACGCTCAATTTTCACTTGCTATCGTCCAACCCGTGTTATACGAACCGAAATCGGGAAATACTCACAAACACACACGAACGAACTTTACGTATTGAAACACTTGTGGGGACTTTAAATCAATTTATTCACAAAAACGACAAGAACTTTACTGGATACGTTATTACAATTTGACACTTGAACAATACTAAAACTGTGAACTTCCCTTAACGTTTAACAACACTCTATTTATACCCTAATTGAATGTTCTAGAGATTACTAGGTACAATTTTCGAGAACCTTCCGAGAAAATAATTATTCAGACTACCCTTAATTCTAAACCCTAACCTAAGCAAAAGTGTCACTGTCACTGATACACTGGTCTCTGTCCAGATTGCTTATCCCGCTACAGTATATTTACAATTCAATTAAATTATTCTACATCAGTATAGTCTTCATCCGAAGAACTGTCATCATCCCCTGGTGTTATAATTATAGGGTCAACCACCTGATCGACCAAGTTGTCCAGTTCCCACATTTTATCTTCCTCTTTTAAAACATGCTGGATTGCTTTTTGCCAGTTTTCTGATGTGATTTCCATAATGGCTTGATCAAACAATACCTTGACATCTTTCATTTTAAATGTGGTATTGTGCCTTGCAACATATCCTTTAACTTGTGCCCATATAAGTTCTATAGGATTTAATTCGCAATGATATGGCGGTAGGCGCAGCACAGTTACTTTATACTTTTCTGCTACATCTTCTACGGCATATTTCATGAAGCGAGATTTATGTTGTTTTACTATGGCTAGTAGTTCCTTCTTTACTGAATTCGTCTCAAACTGAATACCTTTATTTGACAGCCAGTTAATAATTTCTTGCTTTCTCCAAGCTGAAGTTGGTACCTTCTCTAAGCGCCTTGAATGGTAGGTTGCATTATCCATAACCACGACCGAATCAGCTGAAAGAAATTTTAACATTTCCCCGAAGTAGTCTTCGAAGACATCCGAATTCATGTCCTCATGATAATCTCCCGTCCGGCACGACTCAAAGCTTAACAAACCTTCTTTTAAAAATCCGTCTTCGCTTCCAATGTGAGCAATTATAAGCCTCTTCCCTTTTCCCGAAGGCACTTTAATACCCGTCGAAAGGCCTTCTATGAAAGCTTGGCGAGAACTTGTTATATTTTTATCTTGCCACATTTTTTTGACTATATAACCTTCGTTTATCCACGTCTCATCAAGATAAAAAATTTTCTTTTGCTCTCTGCGGTACTGCTTTATAGTTGTCAAATATTTTCGTCTCCAGCAAACAATTTCATCACTTTCCAGTAATAGTGCCTTTCGATTGTGCTTTTCCCAGGCAAAATTCATACTTTTTAAAGTTTTCCATAAAAGTTTTCTGGATATCAAAGGAATATCGTTATCTTGGCTTATCTCGATAAATATTTTTTCAAGAGTGGGTATTTCCTTTTTAAAATAAAACGAATGAACTTTTCTTCGAATGTCACATTTGGTGTCTTCATCTAAGATTTTTATTGGTCTTCCTGATTTTCTCTTGCATGGACTTACCTGGCCTGATATCTTTCTTTCTCGCAATAATTTAAAAATCGTGGACTGTCCAATTCCAGTCATTCGGGCACATCGCTCAACACTTTCTTGCACAGACAAACTAGGGTGATCGTGTTTTATGCAATCATATACATTTAAAATTATAACTTTTTCGCAAACAGATAGCGGAGAATTTTTTACACTTCTTTTCTTTGGAGTAAATGTCCCCATTTTATAACTTTTTCACTATTTCTATATCACAATATCACTGTACGTTTAATTGGTGTAGTAACAATTACTATTATAACTCGAATGTTTAAGACACCATTACAATATATTTAAACCCTTTTTCTTAATTACCTGGGTTTAATAGGTATTGCATGATTGGTGGGCAGGGTCAAAAAGGGATTATTATAATGACATGGCACCTCGGAACTAAGTGTTAACCCTTTTTTGAGAAATCATGCTCAAGTATATGAACCCAAATTGCATATTAAATAAGTTTACAAGAACCACTTAAATTAATCTTAATCTTTTTTTAAGAAATTTTACTTACCTAAATACATGTAGGTACTTAGTTTTAGACCAAATTACTTCCCAAAAATGGCCTTTTATTATTATCTATGTCTGTAATTTTTAATTTACTTTAATTATTAAGTTTAATAATCCTAAGATTTGCCTACGCCCATGGACGACAACGAAATTCAGGCAAATTTTATGACACTTCATGATTTATTACTCTACACTCTTTTGAAATAGACTATAGAAAATGTTACGATCCTCACCGTTTAGCACTTAATTAGCACCTAATAGTGTTCCCTTAACATTCATTATTTTATTATTATTTTCATTGCGTTGCTGGCATCACATACTGCTAGCAACGCAACTTTGAGTATAGAGTTGCGGTGTAAGTTACAGAGCACCTAATTTTTGACTTCGGTACCTAAAAAGCACCTAAAAAGTATCTAATTTTGGCATTTTCTAAATGCGATTTCCGTACTATGCGTTGCTGGCGTAACAGCAGTGTATTGGCACAATCATGTCGCTGGAATTGCAAAGATTATTTCTCAAAAGCTTGGAACACTGTTCCGAACTAGAAAACTATACACACCTCAGCAACTATTGATGCTTTATGTTTAAGAAATTTTTCATCTGGAGAACTGTGTTTATGTGAAATAAACTTCTTGAGAACGTTGTTTCAAATGGATTCAATCTCCAGCCATTCAAATCCAATGTGAATCGCTACTTTCGCACAGGCCCCGATCTGAGAGCGCCTTAAGGATTTTTTTGCTGTCCTTTTCATCGAACTTGGCCTACATTTTTTGTGGTCTTAGCTCTCCTGGACTCTTCCACTGGGACGATTGCACTTTGGTTTCGATGTCATAACTCTATACCCATGATTCATCACCAGTCATTACCCTTTTAAGCAAATCTGGATCGCCGCTGACGTCATTCAACAATTCCTGAGCGATGCTCATGTGACGGATTTTTGGGTCAAACTCAGCAATTTCGGAATGAACTTCGCTGATACAATTTGAAGAAACATGGAACTGTTAGCAATAGTTAATGAAAACAGAAAAAAATATGATACATATATTATTTAAGTGGCTCAAAACAAAATTGTTTTAAGGCTACCACCATATCAGTGCGTACTTAATCCCATTGAGTTAATTTGGGTTGATATAAAAAAAATTGTTGCGGAGCATAATTTTGTGGTCCTGGTTGGTAGTATGCGATAAGAAACTTTCACAAAAAAACTAATCAATACAGTTTATTGTATGATTTTCACTATAAGGGTTTTACAAAAACCGCGACACGTGTTTTGCTATACAATAGCTTCTTCAAGCATAAACTCTTCAAGCATAAACTCTTTATGCTTGAAGAAGCTATTGTATAGGGAAACACGTGTCGCGGTTTTTGTAAAACCCTTATAGTGAAAATCATAGAATA